GTTAACTCACCTTCACATGAATCGTAGCCGCCCTTCTTCCAGCCCGCGCAGATGAAGATGTGTGGTATGTGTTCGATGAAACCGGCTACGCGGTACATAGATTCACAGATTGTGTTGTTGATGACAGGCACAGCAACTTCTTGCAACACGCTTGGCAGTGGGCCGTTTTCGTAGAGTCGCCCCCAGCCGGTGACAAATGCCGTTTGACCAACGAAATCGATGTCACTGTTGGGCACACAAACCGGTATGATGTTGGGTTGGAAGACGACTGGTTCATAGAATCTGAAAGTAAAAAAAAAAAAAAAAAAAACAGTTATAAAGTGAATAAGGAATTGATGAAACCAATATTTCGAAAAAATAATGCGAGTGATGCTTTGGTAAGATTACTACAATTTTAAAGCTTTGCAAAGGACTTTTGAAAGCTTTTTAAAACTAAATTTTTGTTTCATTAAATTTTGCATAATTTTCATTTTTTGATATGTGGCAACTGTTCAAAAAATTTTGTGCATGAAAAATACTTCGACTTTCCGTATTGATTTTAACCATTTTTTGTTTCCAAAAGTTTTAATATTTYTATCCCTACTTTTTAAAAAGTGGCAACTCTGTTCGTCAATTTTTTTAACTTACTAATTGCTCGAACACTTTGTTAAGTTCGAAAGACTTTCTTAAACTATATTTTTGTTTCATTACGTTTGCTGCAATTTGAATTTTTTGAACTCTGAAAACTCAAAATTTTTTTAAAGTGGCAACTCTGTTACACAATTTTTTAACAAGACCATCGACTTTTAGGAACGATTTTAGTCTTATTATTTTTGCATACGTTTTAATATTTTCACCTTTACTTTAGGTGAGGTGGCAACTCTATTCATAAATTTTTTTAACTTAATGACCTCGCGAACACTTAAGGAAACCTTTAAAATAACTTTCGAAATACTTTCTAAAACCATATTTTCGTTTAATTTTATTTTGCACAATATTATTATTTTTCATATGTGGCAACTCTGTTACAAACTTTTTTACTTTCAAATCGTATT